GTTTAGGGTTTAGGGTTTAGGCTTTAGGGTTTAGGGTTTCGGCTTTAGGGTTTAGGCTTTCGGGTTTAGGGTTTAGGCTTTAGGGTTTAGGGTTTGGGGTTTGGATTGTGGTTAGGGTCTGAATAAGTGAAGGTTTGTGGGATACACAACACAGCCATACTTAGACTGAGGGGCTGTCATCACCAATTTGCCCCCAGCCCCAGGGAGACGCACAAAAAATCATAAAACCCTAAGAGAAAGAAGATATGATTGCGAGTTCAGACCCCTATTTTCTGCACCTGTTCCATCCGAGGACCTCTCTGACATCTCAACACCGGTCTTAGCCACGAAGCCACGGTTTAAGTTTTTTTTTTAAAAAAAAAGGGCTGAGTGTTCGGGGGCTTGTAGTTTTCAAATATAGGAGCCTAATTAATTACCTATACTATCTTGAGGGGCTCCTTATAATTTTAGTAAAGTATACCCCAAACCCTATTCTAATCATTAAGGCCCCTACATTAGCTTTGTAAGTCTGTTCGCGGGATCGCCTACGCACTTCCTGCATTGGCCTCCCAACCTTACACATGGCATCTGGTCCTCAGTTTCAACTAGTTAATGTAGGGGCCTCAATAATTAGACTAGGGGTTTGGGAGGTTCCTTATTAAAATTCTAGTATGATATACCCCACAACCCGATTCTAATTATTAAGGCCTTATTAATTATTATAATAACAGTATATTATACCCCACAGCCTTATTCTGATTATTAAGGCCCCTACATGACTAGCTCTGGTTACTCTTAGCACCGGTCTGCAACGCTTCCAATCACCCGTCTCCCTGCCAGATGGCTGCATGCTCGTGTGGTCCGTTGCCCCAGCTTGAAGCTTGTGTTCCGGATCATTGGTACATGTAGAAATATATATATATATATATATATGTATACACACACACATACATATAACGGTTTAGGGTTTAGGGTTTAGGTTTTAGGGTTTAATTATATATATATATATACATACATATGTATGTGTATGTATATATCTGTATATATATATATATATGTATGTGCACACACACACACTTTCTAAGGGTGATATAGGGTTCTACTACACGGGCTTTTCTAGGCTGAGGTATTAGGTTAAGTCTTTGTTGGCACAGCCTTTCGATATCTCGCAAAGGAACCCGGTCAATCACCAAACGCCCCAACTTTTAAGCAGTCATTTGTTTTAGACCCAGCTTGCAAATCTGAATAGAACTCTCAACTGCAAAGCAAGCGCCCTTCAACAATAAACGCAACCCTACAGCTTTCCCCTATGCCCTCAACGGTTTAGGCTAAACCCTAAATCACTGAACCCCTAGACCCTGAATCACTGCACTTTATAAATCCTTGATAAGCAGCCTTCACCACGTAGCTCATGAGCTGTAAAAAACCCCGGTTTAGCTTGGTAGAGCCCTTGATGAACCTCTCGGGTTTAGGGTTTAGGGGTTTTGGATTTATGTAGGGTCTCGGGTGTAGTGCCCCCAACTGCGAGCATCTAAATCCTAAGCCCTAAGCCCCCGGTACACCTCAGAAAGAGCCAGGAAGCCCCAGCACTCAAACGACAGGGAGTTTAGGCACACCATCAAGAACCCATATAGAACTCTTATTGGAGCCTTGATCTCATAAGCCTTCATCAACCGTTATTGAAGAAACCATTTAGGATTCTTATTGGAGCTTTGATATCATAAGCCTTCATCAACCCTTATTGAGCCGCTATGCACTTCTACACCTACAAAGCCCTTATGAAACCCGTTTAAAGCCTTTCCGAAGCCCATCATTACAAAGCCCTTATATCATAAACCTCTGCAAAGCTCTTCTGAAACCTGACAGTCGCATCCGACCCCGAGGAACCTTTCCATGAAGAGCCGGCCGGAGGTTGTTTTCTCTGCGCCCAGTGCCTGGGGCCGAGGGTTACAGGTTTAGAGTTCAGGGTGTCTAAGGGGGCTTGGGAGGTTGTGATCTTTTGATGGTTTGGAGCGCGTATGGTGCTAGGGTTGTTACTGTCAGAGAGGTCACGATAGCATTTCGATAAGCTGTCCTGGCTAAGCACTGTAGAAACGTAACGGTTGTCAATTGTAGACGAGGTGATGGTGTTGTCGTTGATGATCAACGGGACGGTTGTGGTGGCCACCCCCCCGACCGCTCTCGGTCCCTCTCTCTCTCTCTCTCTCCCTCCGTCTCTCTCTCTCTCTCTCTCTCTCTCTCTCTCTCTGTCTCTACATGCTTTTGTACTGAGCACTACAAATGCATACGCACACATATGCGCGTGATGATTAAGCATCTGTTGTTGTTGACATCAGCAAGTACTGATTTGTCCTCGTAAGGGCCGAGCATGTGCCTGAACATGTGCAAAGATGTGTGTCCATCATCCACGTATGTATGCGGGTCTGTAGGTAAGTAGGTAGGTGTGTATAGGTAAGCAGGTAGGTCGGTGGGCCTGTGCCAATGCTAGGCAATGCAACACAAGGTAATGCGAGGGATGATAACGTGGTGCGGTGCATCTCGATTTACTGTAACATATTATTGTACTGCATTGTAATTCAAGCTATGGCAGTCTAAATTTATGTGTAGACCCCAGACCCGACTGTTTGCGTGTGCACGTGTGTGTGTGTGTACAGCAAATGCCTGTGCACCCTCACAATTTGGAACATGCAGTTTTGCCTATCTAACGCCCACATGTCCAATTAGAGGGCTTCGCTATTGCAGCTCTGCCGTACCTACGCACCATCCCCATGCAACTTCCTCTCCACTTCTGAGGCCGTCTTGACAGCGAGCTGCTCAGTGTGCCAGTGGTGTCGCGTTCCTTTCGGGTTTGAAGCCCCTGAACCCATAAGCCCTACACCCTAATCCCCTAAACCCTAACCCTGTGGATGTCCACATTCAGGGACCGGTGAGCTGAGGCCATTCCCCACAAGTTCGATCCTGCCTTGCTTTATGGAGGCTGGGACGCTGGAACTCTCCATTTCTGACCCGAAAGTGGAATCTTTTCTGAAATCCTCAACATGTTGAGGGGGAATTTGTTTTTTTCCCCAACATGTTTTCTCACCCGAAAGCCGCGATCTACCAGCGAGCAAGGCACCTACTCTGGTGGCATCGTCTTGTGGGACACTCGGCAGAAGGCTGCCAGCTTAGTGTTCGGGGACTGAATAATTAGAATAGGGCTTAAAGGTATATTATACTATAATTATGATGGTATATTATACTCTAAGTCTGACAAGGAGACCCCATAAGAGTATTGGAAATTATTTAGGTTCATTAGTGTTCTGGGCCTGAGGGCTGAAGCAAAAGCTGAGGCTAAAGGGCTTAGACTAGGCTTCCAAATTCCAAAGAATTACCTATACTATTTTGGGGGGTTTATGATTATGTTTATAGTAGAGTGTACCCCAAAGCCCTATTCTAATTGTTAAGGCCCCTGATGAGAATGATGATGTGATGTAGCCTTCTGTGACAGAAGAATGACGGTTGCAGTGTTAGCTTTTCAAGGGTACTTAAACCCAATAAGGAATATAAATTTGAGTTTTTAATACTACCCCAACCATGAACAAGAACAAGAGCACTGCGAAAAAGTGCACTTTTCAGCACAGACCAGGAGCCCTGAACTGTACCCCAACCCTAGACTCTAAAACCTCTCTGAACCCTAAACCCTAAAGCCGGGAGAAAGGGCTACTGCATTTAAAACAACCCTAAACAATAAACCCTAAAACCATAAACCCTAAACCCTAAAGCCCTAAATCCTACACCCTAATCCCGAAAGCCCGCCAAAACCTGCCAGGCTGGTCCGGTGCTGAAGACCCCTCTGAGCGGTAAAGGTGTGCCCTGCATACGGCTTTAGGGGGTTTTAAGGCTTTGGGGGGTTTGGGGTTTAGAGCACCGGATTCCTCCGTGTCGCAGTTTTACGAAGCTGGTGTTGCCTTGGAGGTGTAGCTGATGGGATTCTAGGGGCTGTCGTCTTTCAAGCTGAGGCTCTAGCTTCATGGTTGCCATGATAAGTATATGGTCTAATGTCCCGGGCATCTTCATTGGTAGTTTGGATTAAGAGCAGACAGAAGTCCACCCCGGACTCCGCGCCGACAGTTGAAGCTTTGCCGCGGCAGGTCATGCGCATCCCGTCACTGCCATGGAGCAAGTGGGCACTCAGAATGCGACAAATCTCGTGGGGGACCCTGTCATCTCATGCTGCTGTGTCCTTGAGTCCTAGAGTGCACATGACGTCACATGGCTTTTACAAGCATCAGAACAAACGACAGTGTCATGCGAGGTCCCGAACAGAACAGAGCTGTCCATGCATCTGGCAAGCATCTTTGCGCGTGTTTCTCTTTCTCGCCTTGCAGGTCACAGCCTCGAACGATGGGAGACTCTGCGTCTGGTCGCTCGCAATGCTGAACCAGCCACAGGAGCCACAGTAGTATAAGTAGTAGTAGACGTAGTAGTAGTCGTCGTCGTCGTCGTCGTCGTCGTAGTCAGTAGCACTTAGTAGCACTTAGTAGTACTTAGTAGTACTTAGTA